AGAGGCTGAGGGAGGCAAGTATGTGTGCTAAGGTTACTGGGCAGCTAAGTGCTGGTGCTGGGACTCAGGCCCCTGCCTGGGCCCAGCCTTCTACCCTCTGTGGTCTCTGATCACCATCCCCTTCAGGGTGGGCCCTGGACCCCTTGGTTCCCCAGCTCACCCCACTTGAAGACGGGGTCTTGGCAGGAGGAGACTTGGCCTCAGTGGCTTTCTGGGCAAGGACCTTCAGGGCAGCCTGGGTCAGCGGGAGGTGAGCTGGGTTCGTCTTTGTCACCTGTGGACAGCCAAAGGCAGCCCTGAGACTTTCGGATTCTCAGGATGCCAGCTAGGCCACACGCCCGTAAGATCCTGTTTGGCTGGGGTGGGAGGGGACCTCTATCTGCAAGAAGAGCCTTGGGACTGGAACAGGACTGAGGGGCAAAGGGGCAATGCAACCATTTGGACAGAAAATGGGGCCAGGCTTTGGGTTATGGGCTAATCATCGTTCTCAGAGGATCCGAAGACAGCTCCCAGCCCAGGGGAGGGCAGTGGCTCAGGCCCTGCTGGATGCTCCACCACTCTATCTGAGCCTCTGGCCTCGTGGCTGCAACAGCCTCCTCGACGGCCTCCCTCCTGCAGCTCCTGCTTCCCATACCCAGCAGCAGCCACGGAGAGAGAACTGAACAAGAAGTAGGCCTGACTCCCCGCTGAGACCCCAGGCCCCCTACGGCCCTCATCATGGGCTGGGAGGCCTGGCCCCTCTGCCCCATCTTCTTTTAACTGTCGCACCCCAAGCAATTCCCCAGAGGCCCCTGCACCAGGTCTCCCTGCCTGGAGTGCTCCCCAGCTCACCCAGGCCAGCTGCTTCTCTGGCCTTAGTGTTGCCTCCTTGAGGAGGCCACTCTGGCCCGTCCTTCCTAAAGCAGGTCATCCCACTGCTCTCCAGTTTATCCTGTTTCCTTCAAAGCACCCACCAGCTGGTGACTACTTTATTTTCTGGACTCCTTGTTTAAGGGCTGCCTCTTGTCTTGGGAACTCCATGAGGGCAGGGACCCTCCTGTCCTCCTGCTGTATCCCCAGAGCCCGGCATGGACAGACACTCAGCACCATCTACTGGCTGAACAGCCAAACCGATGCAGCACGTTGGGTGCAGTGACCACGACCCAGCCACCCACTTAGCATCCATGCTCCCAGTCGTGAGGAGCCCCTCTGAATGGGGGTGCCCAAGTCCTACTGTGGCCTCCCCCAGCTCTCTCCTTCCTTCTCAGAAAAAAGGGGCAGTATGCAATGGGTCAGGCAACCAACTGCCATGAAGGCCCCAAGAACAATGGAATAGGAGCCAGGAGCTCTGGGTTCCGACCCTGCCTAATCCTGGAGCCATCCTGACTCTCTTGCCAAGGGGGCGGCACTTAGTTTCATCATGTGAAAATGAGCCGTTAACTCTCCCCTGCCTGGTTTCCAGGTCTCAGCAAGGACCAAATAAAAATGCATGGGAAGTGCTGAAGCCTGGGAAGAACGCTAAGGGTCACTATGATGAGTGCCAGCAAAGGCCAACTTTTGTTGCATTTCAAAACCAGGAGGGAAGAAACGAATCAAAAGTCTGATGTCAGAAAAGCTGCTGTGGGACTCACGGAGCAGCACTGGGTCTGCCCGGGCTCTGGCTTCAAGGGGGCGGGTGAGAGAAACCAAGGTGACACCCAGTGGCCTTATGGGGAAGCGAGGGCAGAGCAGGCCGCCCCCCAACCCCGCCTCACCCGCCAGGTACCTGAGTGGCTGGCGCCTCCTGCTTCTTGCCTTCGGACACTGGAGTGGACTCCTCATTGCTGCTGGCTCTGGGGGATGTCCTCGGCTGGGCTGTGGGCACCGTCACCACGTTGGTTCTAACGGCTGAGATGAAGTGGGATGGGGGCACGTCAGCTGACAGAAGCCCGTGGCCTCCCCAGCGCGGCAATACCCAATTTATCAGCCCTTCCTGGGATCCTGGTGCTGTGCCCAGGGCCTAGCAGTAGAAGCCACTTTAATCCCCTCCCCGAGCCTGCCAGGTAGGAGCTGCTACTGTCTCCACATTACAAGGCTCAGGGAGATGACCCGGCTGCTAACACCCTAGGCTTCCTCCTTGGCCCCTCCTCCTCACTTCAGTCCCCTTGGCTGGCCAGGCAGTCCTGAGCAACGGGCAGAGCACCGGTGCCAAACTGGACTTTCCGTGCACTCACAACAGTCTCTCTTGAGAATCACCGCAGTCACGTGCAGAGGATCAGTTACGCCATGTTCGCTGTGGCACTGTTTTTAACAGCCCCAAACCACAAACAAAACCCTCGGCTTCCTCCAACACGGTACTGGCTAGACAGACTGTGGGATCCCCACCCAAGTGACCACTTTGTAGCCAGCAGGAACCACGCTGTAAATACGCAATGTCAGAATCTCTCGGGTAGAGATTACTGAACATATATACAGTGTGGTCTCACTAAAAACACACGGTATATCTTAGGTTTTTGTAAAGTTAATAGCTGTAAATGTTAACAATAACTGCTCTGGACAATGGGATTATAAATGATGTTTTTTCTTTTGTGCTTATTTGAGTTTCTTAATTAGCCCACCTAGCTCAGGTATTAATATCCTCACTTAAAAGTGTTCTAATAATACTAATAGTAATTAATAATCACTATTATTACTTTTTGTTTTTTGCTAACACTGGTAGAATCACAGGTTGTCCAAAG